CAAGAAATCAGTGGGATGAGATTTATGTTAATAGAGTTCGTCATAGGAAAAAAAGTACACGAGTAAAGTAATATTCATAGTGATGAACGATATCCAAACTTTAAATTTTCCGTGAATCTCATTTACTAATATTAGGATTCAGAGACATTTTACAAGAGTTATACCCAAATTTCAAGTGATATTTCCATTGATTATTCAGTGGAGAAGTAGAGAGATAACCAAACACTGTTCTGTCTGTCTTGCCCAAATTTTCTTATTTGGTCTGCAGATGCCCCTCACCTGACTTATGTTCATTCAGAGGAGACTTGTCAGTCAAAATAGCTCTTTGTTTTGGAGAAAATTGTTCAAGAATTGGTAGGCTTTATTTATTAGTCACGTTAGTTTCCTTACTATTCCCACACAAGTCGAACCGATATGCATCCAAGCTTTTAAAGTATTTTAAAATTGGATAGAGATTTATTATACATTTATTATGGAATTAATGCTCTTTTTTGCAAAAAAAAAAATCAGTTATTCAGTTATACTACATGAAGGACTTATAAAGAAGAAAGTTAAAGTAGTATTAATATTTTGGGCAGGAATGTTTTAGCAAGATTTTTCTGTGCACCTGTGTATGTGTGTTTCTGCAGAATATAAATTGTATTAATTGAACATTCAAATGACAAGAGACTGTCCAACTCCTATTTAGAAAAAGTAATTCTACCTAAACAGGTTTCTTATACCTCAGTGAATATAAGAAGACGAGGAAGATGCCAGTAAACTCCTCTAGTTTGATAAAACTTTCAGGTATTTACACCTTTTTAGGTTATGTAAATCAAGAGTAATTGTTATGGCACAATTTATCAAATAAGATAGCCCTTCAGCTATGGCCATGCCACCCTGAACAAGCCGGATCCCGTCTGATCTCGGAAGCTAGGCAGGGTTGGGCCTGGTTAGTACTTGAATGGGAGACCACCTAGGAAGACCGAGTGCTGTAGGCGTAAAAAATAAAAAATAAGGAATTGTAAGCTGGCAAGATCTTTGCAGCCTGTGAGGTCAACAACCCAGGGTTGCCTCGCCTTAAAAAAAAAAAAAAAAAAAGATAGCCCTTCAGGATTATGTGTTTTTTAGATTTTGAAAGTTGCTTTCACAGGACATAACCATACCCTCTCCTGTCCAAGTATCTTTTAAAGCTCCATTATGCAAATAATATTTTGTAGGACAGATTTATAATAGTAGAAATCAGAATAAGATGGTGATAACTATAAATATGCATGTAAATCTTTACATAGAACAGGAGAATAAGATTGAACTGCTTATTAAAGTTCTCCATTTAATGCCTTGTTAGATTCTCTTTTTTAGTTTTATGTCAAAGAATGGTGTCTCTTTTGATAGCTGTGGGGCAGGAGGAAGTTCTTTTGTTAGCTTTCTGAGAATCTGTTTTGCTCATGTTGTTAGTTAAAAATAATTTAATTTTCAAGGCTTGGCTCTAAAATATTTTAAATGTCATTATAAAGAAAAGAGCGGGCATGAGATTCAAATTTTACTATAAAAACAGAAACAGAAAACTTTGTTTAATAACAGTAGAATAAAAGATGTGTAATACCTTTTAATAATACTATGTAACTTTTATTAAGTAATTATATGTCCTTAAATGGTATATATAATATCTCGGTCTTCATAACAAGTGTATGAGATAGGTGCTATTCTTATCCTTACACTATCAATAAACTAACTGAAAAGTTAGAAACTGTCAGACTAAAATTCACATTCGGAAAGTCTGATGATAAAGTCTGTGTTATTAATGACATAATCCCTCCATCGTTTTACATACTTCTTTAATTTGCCAGTATCAGTCAGTAATTCATCATGAATTTCTTCAACAATAAATATGGATCGGTGTGATCAGTATTACTAAGGCTTTGGTGCGCCATCGTAACTGACCATGATTTATTTAGCCTGTTGCCTCCTGTGGCCATTTATATTTACAATATTTGGTTATTCTAAGTTGTTATATGGTAAACATATTATGCATATATCTTAATGTGCTTTTAAAGCTATTTCCTAAGAAAAACTGCATAAAAATAACATTTTAGTCAAATATCAGACATAAGGGCTTAGGGTATGCTGGACTTTATGACAGTAATTACAGGAATACAAGTGCTAAAAACATAGTTACTACTCTTAAGTTTCCTGTAAGATACAGCAAATAGTATAAGATCAGAGTAGATGGAATAAGTGTTAGATCGAAAGTAATAAAAGCCACTAGAGAAATACACGTGCCTTAAGGGTTCATAGGAAGGAGATATTACTTCTCTAGCTATACCTCTGTCAGGTTTCTATCAAATTATTCTAAACTCAGGGGAACTCCATAGCGATGTATGGATTTTATGCTGTATGCTCCCTACCAGCGCCGTTCAGTAGAAGTTTCTGTGATAATGGATCTGTTCTGTATCCACGTTCTCCAGTATGGTAGCTACTAGCCACATGAGGCTGTTGAACACTTGAAATGTGGCTAATGCCACCGACGGACCAAACTTTCAAGTTTATTTAATTTTACTTAATTTAAAATTGATTTAAATAGCCATATGTGGTTATAGGCTATCATATCAGATGGCACAACTTAGTATTTTACAGTTTTTATTCGAATAATGTTAGATTTAAAGTGGGACTAATGGGAAAAGATTATTCAGCATCAGTTTGTAGGATATCGAGGCCGAAAGGATAGTTTCAGTGTAAAATGAAGTCAGGAATACATCTGTCAGGAGTACATGAAAGGAAGCCTCATTGACACCAGCTTGTATACATACAAGACTTTGCAGTACATTCATATACATGGACATATATAAAAAATCAGAGTGTTGGTCAGGCATGAGAGCTAAAGGAAAAAAAGACATTCAGTAAAAATTTAACAGCTGTTTTCAGATTGTCTTCAGCTTTTTCCCCAAGTTCAAGAGAATTGTTTTAAAAAGGGAAAGCTTTCTCTTATCAAAATAAATACATATGTATGCTTATGTATGTGTATATTTTATACATTTTTCCATCTTTATTGAAATATAATAGATAATTAGTTGCTTGTATTTACATTGTACAATTCGATGAGGTTTTTTTCAATTATAGTTGGCATACAATAATATACCAGTTTCAGTTGTATAGTGGTCAGAGATCCATGTAACTCACAAAGGGATCACCCCACTAAATCTAGTACTCCTCTTCCCCCTTACATATTTATTACATTGTTGACTATTTTCCTTGTTACACTTTATATCTCCATTACTGTTTTGTAACTATCCATTTTTACTTCTTAATCCCTTCGCCCTTTTTCACTTCCCCACCTCCCTCCTGTCTCATAGCCCTCAAAACATTATCTGTATCTGAGTTTGTTTTCATTTTTGTTGTTGTTATTTATTTTGTTCTTTAGATTCCACATGTACGTGAAATCATGTGATATTTGTCTTTCTCTATCTGTCTGACTTCACTCAGCGCAGTACCCTCTAGTTCCATCAGGGCAATTTTTTTTTCCATCCCTTTCTTTTAGTCTGTGTGTGTCTTTTAAACTGATGTGAATCTCTTGTAGGCAGCGTATATAGGGATCTTGCTTTCTTATCCATTCAGCCATCCTATTTTTTTGGAGCATTTAATTCTTTTCCATTTGAAGTACTTGTTGATAGAGATGTAGTTGTTACCATTCTTTATTCATCTTTTTGATACATGTTTTTTCTTCTTAAAGAAGTCCCTCCAATATTTCCTGTAATACTGGTTTGGCATTGATGAATTTCTTTAGCTTTTTTTTTGTGCGTGTGTGGGAAACTTTATCTGTCCTTTGACTCTAAATGATAGCTTTGCTGGATAAAGTATTCCTGGTTGTAGATCCTGGGTTTTCATCACGTTGAATATTTTGTGCCAAGCCCTTCTGTTCTGCAAAGTTTCTTTTGAGAAATCAGCTACCAGTTTTATGGGTGCTCCTTGTAGGTAACTGTTTTTCTCTTGCTGCTTTTAAGATTCTCTCTTTGTATTTAACCTTTGGCATTTTAATTATGATGTGTCTTGGTGTGGGATTCTTTGGGTTCATCTTTTTTGAGACTCTCTGAGCTTCCTGGGATTGTATGTCTATTTCTTTCAACAAGTTAGGGACATTTTCCATCATTATTTCTTCAAATAGCTCTTCAACTTCTTGTTTTCCTTTAGGTACCCTTGTGACAAGGATATTTTTACATTTAATTGTATCCCACAGGCTCCTTAAATTATTGTTATAGTCTTGGCTTCTTTTATCTTGCCATTCTGATTGAGTGTCCATGGCTTCCTCATCCTCTATATTGGTGGTTCAATCCTCTTCATCCCTTCTGTTGATTCTCTCTAATATACTGTTCATCTCAGATCATGAGTTCCGCATTTCTGACTGGTTCCCTTTTATAATTTCCATTTTCATTTTTATGTTTTTTATCTCTTTGTTTATGAGTTCATCTATACTTCCATTAAGTTCATTGAGCATATTTATAACCAGTGTTATGAACTGTGCATCTGTTAGATTGCTTGACTCCATTATTCCTGGATCTCTGTTCCGTTCCTTCATATGGTTTCTACTTCTTTGTCTTCCCATTTTGGCTGCCTTTTTTATGTCTTTTTCTATTTACTAAGCTCCTAAGTTTCCTGGTCTTATTAGCGTGGCTTCGTGTAGTAGGTGTACAGTGGAACAGTCCTGAGAGGGCTTCAGCTGCAGGATAAGTTTAGCCAGTTGCCTAGGAGCTGCTCAGCAAGGAGCACCTGACTAAGCGAAAACACACCTGGATGTAGCTTGGGTGGGGCCCGAGTTGCGGGAGGAGGGGTTTCAGGGAATCCTCTGGACTGAGTGACCTCTGCTACCCAGTTTGATGATGTCTCCGCTGCTATGGCGGCACTGAGTCCACGCACTGGGAGGGGGTAAGGCTCAACAGAGGAACAATGGATACCTCCAGCACGTCTGTACAGAGAGTATCTTACCTAGACCCTCACTCTGACAACTCGGTGTCCCCCTGTGAGTCCTTCGGGCCCCCTGCGCAGCAGAACCAGCACTGGTGCTCAGAGCGAGCAGGTCCATCACCGGGAGAGTCCACTCGCAGATGCGACCCCTTTAAGAGGCGTCTGCGGCAGCCTCCGTCTCAGCTGTTCAAGACCAGGCAGCCCCGCATCCTCACCCTGTCCTACCTTCTGCTTTTGCAGGGTTATTTCTCAGATTTCTTTCTAGTTGTATGGCTTGTTCATCTAGCTCCCAGGCAGTTTCCCTTGCTGCTGCTCCTTGTTTCCGTCACAACTTTGATTTGGTCGCCAGAGGGATGAACAGAGTCTCTATCATCTACACCATTTTTTTTCTCCTCTATGTATGCATATATTTTAAATTGCTTTTAAAAGTTATGGATTATACTTAAGCAAAAATAACATCAAAAACACGCCATGCAGGTCAGCAGTTTTCACATATGGCTATATAACTTTCTAAACTTTTTTCTGTCTTGATTTTTCCCTCTTTCATTCTTTGTATATATGTGTGTATGTATGTGTGTGTGTGTTTTACAAATGTAATCGTATTGTATATTCTGGTTTTCAGTCTGATTTTTCTATTTATAGTCTATCTTAAATATTTTCCACATCTTTTAAATATTTTCTCCAATTAGTATGGTACTTAATATCTACTTAATATTTATATAATATTCCGTTACATAGAGGATCTATAATTAACCAGTCAGCTATTGCTGGGCTCAGAGTGCTGGACACTGCATACATCTTTCTTTTTAGAGTCAAAAGGAAAATTAATTTATTAGAAAAGGGGTAACTCCACAGACAGAGCATGGTCTCCTTTCAGAGGCAGAGAGTGAGAGAGCCTGAGAGAGATTCGGACAGAGACAATAGAGAGGGACCAGGACAGTGAGAGAGACAGAGTAAAGGCACTGAGAGGGACCCTAAGGGTACAGGGAATTCAGTTTATATCATTCTTCAGTTCCTGTGAGTTACAGTTTAAAGACTTTGTCAGCCCATTTCCTTTGATATGAACATACAGTGAGGAAGGGGAAGAGTATATAGTGTGAAAAAGTAAGAATATATAGTGTGAAAGGCCCGCTGGCAGTTCCCAGCCTTTAATCCATAGGTTCCTAGTGGTTTTAGCCGCAGGGAATGACTTGGTTCTCATTTTCCCTTCACAGGTGTGGGGCATGGGCTGTCAGCAGCCCCAGCACACATCTCCCTGTGTTCGCAGGTGTCCGGGCCTGGCTGCAGGGCTGGTCAGCACATGGCAGTCTCTGAATGTGGCTTGGTTAACATTTTTAATTCCTTGCCTCCTTCCTACGTTATTCTCCCCTCAAGATTTTATTCCCTTATTCCTAAGGGGATGTTGAGGGATGAAGATCTGTCTTCTGTAACTTTATCAAAGCTGAGAGAGGCCCGTAGTCCCTCAGAGCCCCGGAGGCAGAGAAGGTGAGGCCGGTCCAGCATGTAGAAGTGGCAGGAAGCCTTGCAGCCCGTCCTATTGTGGCCAAAAGGTACTGCGCAGTCTTTTAATTTGGAGTTTGGAGTTTGCACGGGGTCCCTCGGCAGGTCTTCTCTGCAGTTCCGATGGTGACACCGAGTCAGGGAGGTTAGAGGAAGGAAAAGCAGACAGGCCCGGAGGAATCCTGCCCAGTTAGGGAACAAGTCTCTCACTGCCCCCGAGAAATAGGCCTCGACAATTTGCCCAAGGCCAACTGATCAGCACGTAGGGAAATGAATCCCAGCCACTTTCAGAGGAGAGGAGCCGTGGGGAACTTGGGTGGGACGAGTTTATGTCCTTTGGTCCCTTAGTGGTCACTAGAAAAGATGATGCAGGACAGGGCAAATTTCCCCGAGTGGAGGGGAGACCAAGCCCTGTCCGAGAGAAGAGGGTCCTTTGGCAGAGAGTGAAGAAAGAATTAAGCACACACGCCAAAGTCAGCGTCAAAAGGAAGGTTTATTAGAGAAGGGCTAACACTCCACAGACAGAGCGTGGTCTCCTCTCAGGCAGAGAGAGGGGGACGGTGAGGGACAGAGGAAAGGCACTGAGAGGGACCCCTGCCTACATCTTAAAGCAGAGTTACAGTCATTTCCTTTGGACACAGTCCTAGAAGTAGGTTTGTGTGGTTAAATTCTTTTACATACTTGTACGTGCTCGATTTAAAGGTCGCACAAATCTATAGCACCTACAAAATCTCCATCGCCCCCCGCCCCCACTCGGATGGCATACCGTCAGTCTTTTAAGTCTGCCAGGCTCATAACTTTACACTAGTACTTTCTTATTTCTTTAATGAGTGTCTTTAATTTAATAACTTTGGTGGATGGCGTGCTTTTTTTTTAGTGAATTACCTGTGCTCAAGCTCACTAAAAGAAGAAATCCTGCAGTACAGAGGAAAAATCCAGAGTTGAAAGAGAATTGGTTTTACATTTACAGAAACGTGCATTCAAAACACAGCTTTGCCTCTTCCTAACTGAATCTGAGCGAGGAACTTTGAGCCTCTGTTACCTCATCTGTTGGTGTTGTTGTCACCTGTGACCGTGGGCGTGAATTCACACCTCCACAGCCTTGGTATTGAGAGATGAGAGTAGTAAGTGAATTCCTGCAGGAAAGCATGTAAATGAGCCTGATTAGGAAATAGAAGTTGGTTGGAAACAGAGCCCAGAGGATTCTGGAGGCTGAAGTTCTGGCTGGGGCAGGACTCCACATAGGAAGTGCATTCTGCAGTAGGAAACTGCCTCCTGTTTTCTGCCTGTATGTCTGCCGAGTCTAGATACTTGAGCCATGACAGACATTCGGGTTTGGATGGGGCAGCCCCCTCTCAGCTCTAGAAGGTGGACGTGGATGGAAGAGGATCTGCTCGCGGCAGGGCTCGACGATTTGGTCTCAGTTACAGATCAACATCGTCAGAAACTGGAGTGCACCAGAGACCCTTCTGCTGGCGTGCCTGGTCTGCTCTGTCTCCACACTTGAGCAGGTGGTACCCCGTGGCATGGGGGAGGTTTGGCTTCATCCAAACTCCCTGTCCTCTCTCCTGCTTTGCGTGTGGGGCATTGTAGAGATGGAAGTAGAAAGAAGGCAAAACAGGATCGTGTTAAATCATTGGGGATTTCTGAGACGCGCCTGGTCTCAAAGCCTTTTGTTCCTTCTCCAGCCCTGGCTTCTCTGGACTCTGCTTCTGCAGTGGACGAGGCCCAAAGAGGACTGAGAGGTTCTAAACCATGGCCCAGGTAAGTTCACATTTCCCCTCCTTGAAATATTGTGTTTTTTTGTGAGGTTATTTTTATTATCGTGAGGTTATTTTTATTTTGTGAGGTTATTTTTATTAATTCGCGAGGTTATTTTTATTATCCCGGGGCTTCTGATGCTGGATCTGCTCCCCGGTTGTTCCTCGTGTCCTCATTTGCCTGCGTTCACCTATTTATAACCTCTGTGCTCAGACGGGGCGTTGACGGAGCAGTGAAGGGTGAAGTCACTTGAGGGAAATATTTGAACTTTCCTCGTTAGAGCCAAGATTTCATGACACAGAGGTGATGGCCCTGTTAGACTCCACAGGCCCGAGTTTTGCAGGTTGATAAGATGGAATTTAGTGTTGCATGTTTTGCACGTGCTGAGGTCTTATTCCTTGAGAGGCTTATTGGACTGGATAGGAGTGGGGTTGAGGCCTGCATGTGGAGATCTCAGGCATCTAGCCAGGGGGCCCTGGCGGAACGAACAGGACAGAGGTCAACTTCGTGTTTGAGGAGGTCGTGCTGGTCTCCAGTGGCATCAGTGTCATCGTGGATCATCCTGCATCAGCATCCTCTCTCTCAGGACCGCGGCAGGTGTCCCTGGACATGGTGGCAGGAGCCAGTAGGAAGCGCCTCCAGATCCCTAATTTGAAAGTAGCCTCATGGGATTGGGGAAGACCTTAGACATTTTGTCCAGCCTGAATGCCTACATACGAAAGAAGGATTAGTGTGATATATCCATGAGATCAATGATTAGCCAGCCAACAAATAATTTAACTAAAAACTTTGTCATTTGTTACAAGGAAAATACTTCTGATATTATCTTGCATAATGATGAGCCTGAGTTTCAATGAAAACAAATGTTAATCGAGTCCTGTTTTCTAAGATGAGAGATTTTAGAGTACTTTTCAGGAAAAACAGGTCATTACTTCTTGTTTTTTTAATTCCGTGAAGGGAGGAGAGAATGGAACTCACGTTTATTCAAAATTTAAAATGCAAGCACATGATAGGCAGAGTGCTTATTTATATGATTTTATTTCACTGGGAAGCCTTGATTATTTTATTCATCCCTAGACCCTTGGATAATTATGTTATCCCGCTACATACAGGACATCCTATTGGTAGCAGCAGTTTTCTTTAAAAGCATATCACTACTCTACTTTAGAAGTACTAATTTCCTTATTTTACCCCACATGCCACAGGCTCGAACTCCAATTTACTTGTTTGCTTCGTTGCCTCTTTACTGAAAAGCAGTTTCCATCTTAAAAATACATTTCAAACAATGTTTATAATACACGGATCTGTCATTTCAGGTGTCCCTGGCGTTCAGGGATGTGGCCGTAGAATTCTCCCAGGAGGAGTGGGCGTGCCTGGACCCCGCCCAGAGGGCCTTGTACCGGGACGTCATGGCGGAGAACTACAGGACCCTGCTCTCCCTGGGTGAGGCAGACTGCACGCGACTAACGATCTGTTTTCCGAAATATCAGTTTTCTCCGTTGTTGAATTTCAGAGCTCTTTTTTAAAAAAACCAACTGACTTTCTTCCCCCTATTTGGAAGGAAATAGTTTGAGCATCACTGAGTTGGAAATGGGCACTTGCGCTAATAAGCGCCTTCATCTCCCCCACCCCTCAGTGACCTTCACTCCTCCCTCTGGCTCTTCGTGCTGTTGCCTGTTTTCTGCGATGGTGCCCAGACTGGTTTCTACAACATTTTCAGACAAGCCAGATTTCATATTATGTGTGCGATCAGAATTCCTGTAACTGCTCTGTTGTCTGGCCCACCTGCAAAGAAATCAGCTGGTCTCAGGGTTCTGGTTTTCTTTGATCATCAAAAGAGCCTCTATGGTTTATATACAGTGGGTTGGGTTAACAATATCCATTTAAAATTCAAGCAAACATTTCCTTTCCCAGAAGAGACGTAGTCTTCTTAATCTACTTTGTGTTTGAAAGTCTGTGAATTTTGCAATTTCCGTTGAAAGATGATCTGAAGAAGATCCTGGAAGCGTTTTAGGAAACAGTATTTTTCTTTTAATAAAATAACAAAAATACTATTATATATTAGGTATCCTTTTAAGTCTTTACACAGTTAATTCATTTAATTCTCTTAATGGCCCTATGAAGTTGTTATATTAGCCCTATTTTGCACTTGATAAATAAATGTACAACACATGGAAGGTAAGTAACTTTTCAAGGTCGCAGAGCTGGTAGGTGGCAGAGGATTCGAACCCAAGGCTGTAAGGCTCCAGAGTCTGTTCCCAGCCCTTCTCCATGTGCCTTTAACAGCAGAGCAGACCTTTTCCCTCTCCTGTCTGGTTGCTCTAGTCCTATGATCATGGGTCCATTTAAGTGTCAATATCCTTTAGTGGCCATTTTCATTGTATCAAGTACCATTTTGACCTACAGGTTAATATAAATATAACCAAGTCCAAATTGTTTGTCCTACATCATGTGGCCTATCTTCTTGCGAGCAGGACATTCCATTCCTAAGCCAGATGTGATTACTTTATTGGAGCAAGAGAAAGAGCCCTGGATGTTTGTGACGGAAGGAACAAGAGTTTGGCACGCAGGTGAGTGATGGCCAGGCAGGCAGGGAAATGCCATCCCAAGTCATAGCACCCTGGCTCCGGGAGGGCCGCGCCCCTGACGTGGTGTTCGGAAGGCTCCCTTCAAAGTCTCAGGACCTGTGGAGAAAAGGCCTGGGGCCTGGGAAGACATTCAGATCCTCTCAACATGAGCTACCAAAGGAAATTCATTTGTACCTCATTTCCCATGCTCCCCGTTTCTCTTCTATTTCCCTCCTCTCCCCCCGCCCCCCATTTCGAAGGGGACTGCTCTCTCTCTTCGCTTTTGACAACCATTTTACCTATGTTTCCAAGTCCTCTTTTATAGTTAGACTTCCGTGCAGTTCTCCATTGCCTAATTTCTCATTCACATATCTTTGATGAAGTGTTTATTAGAATCTTTTGCTTCCTATTTCCTGTTTACTCAAAACCAGGCACTGTGCTAGTCTAGACACCATTGATGTAGGTTCCTGCTGTCAGGGACACGTTGCTGTCGTAGTGAGGGAGACGTGCAGTAAATAAGTAAACAGATAAGATAATATCAGGTCGTAATGTGTGTCGCGAAGAAAATTAACCAGGGTAAGGAGACGGAATGTCGGAGGGTCGGCAGGGCTAATTTAGATCATAGCAACAAAGGCCGCTCTGTGGTGATAACCTGTGAACAGAGATGTGAAGTAAAGTGTCAGGCCCAGTGAAGGCTGAGGATGAGCAGTCCCAGCAGAATAGAAGTGGAATTGCCACATCATGGGATAGGCGTATTTTCTTAATTATATGTATCGGGAAATACTTTACATAATATAAATTGCATCCATTTTATTTTATTTTTTAAATTAATTAATTTAATTGAAGAAATGATTTAAATCTTTTCCCCCCATCTACCTTCCCCAGCCTCCCTCTTCCCGTTCCCTCTGGTAACCACTGAACTGTATCCATTTTAAGTGTCAAGTTCTGAACTTTTTAAAACAGTTTCATTGATGTATAATTGTCATACAATTAACTGAAAAAATTAAAACTGTACAGTTTGATAAGCTGACATATGTATGTTGTGGAACTCTTAATCAATATAGTAAACATATCCTCTGAAAGTAATGCAGTGGTATCATATTGTGGCTTTAATTTTCATTTCTCTAATGCCTCCTGATGATGCTGAACAGCTTTTCATTGCTGAATTTCTCATTCATATATCTTTGATGAAGTGTTTATTAGACTCTTTTGCTTCCTTTTTAATCGAGTTGTTAGGTTTCTTATTATTGAGTTTTGAGAATTCTTTGTGTTTTGGATACAAGTCCTTCATCAGACGTATGATTTGCAAATATTTTCTCCCATTACGTGGCTTGTCTTTTCATTCTGTTAACAGTGTCTTGAACAGCAGAGGTTCTTCATTTGATTAAGTCCAGTGTATGACTTTTCCTTTTATGGATTACGCTTTCAGTATCATATTTAAGAAATCTTTGCCAAACCCGGGGTTACAACGCTTTTCTCCTATGTTTTCTTTGAGAATTCTTATAGTTTTAGAATTTTACATCTCTTTACCAATTATATACAGACTCTTGAAGAGGAAGAAATATTTTCCAACTCATTCTCCAAGGCCAGCATTACTCTAAAACCAAACCAGACAAAAGCGTTATGAGAAAAGAGACCTACAAATCAATATCCTTCATAAATACAGATGCAGAAATCGTGAACAAAATTTTAGCCAGTTGAATCCAGCCATTTCTAACAAGAATGGTGGTCGCTGGCGATCCTCCAAGCTCCCGGGCTTGTAGCCGCGTCACTCCGGTCTCTACCTCCGTCTGCACGTCACCTTCCCTGTTGCGTCTGGTGTCTCATCCGCCTCTACGTCACTCTTGTACCTGTCATTGTATTTGGGGCCAAATCCAGAATAATCTCATCTCAACATTCTTCACTTGATTACACCTGCAGACTCTTTTTCCAAATTAGGTCATGTTCGTAGGTCCTGGGAGTTAGGACTTGGACTTCTCTTTCTGGAAGCCAATGTTTAACCGACTATCTGGAAATAATGACTTTTATGATCTTCCTTTCTAATCCTTAGATTATTTTCCTTGCCTAAATCTACTAGCCGGGACCTGTGGTATAATTATTGAATAGAAATGAATTTGAGCAATTGTGGGGTGAATTAGTAATAAGAAAACTCAGCCGGTGCTTATAAATAAACATCTCAGTACTTTAGCTGGGATCGGGACAAAGAAAAGCAACGATTGCCATGCACAGGGTGGAGTGTAAACAGTGGTGGAGATGCATCCGCGTGCAAGGTAACCATAGGGAATTTGAGAATGATGAGTTATAAAAATGACATTTTTTCCATAAAGTGTTATTACAACACAGCCACACTCATTCAATTACATGTCTGTATTCCTGTAGCTATCTTTGTGCTATAACAGGGACCATATGCCCTACGAAGCCTAACATTTTAATTTAATTTATTTATTTACTTTTTATGGTGACATTGGTTAACGAAATCCGGTAAGTTTCAGCTGAACATATTGACAGTAAGGCATATATATGTATATATTTACATTGTGTGTTCACCTCTCATAGTTAGATTTCTTTCTGTCACCACATATTCGACCCCGTTTTATCCCATCTACCTCTCCCCTACCTCTCCCCCACTACCCTCTAGTAACCACTAGCCTATTGTCCATGTGCATGAGTCTCTGTTCGTTTGTCATGTTCATTTGTTGCTTTTAGGTTTATATTCCACATATAAGTGATATCATGTGGTTTACAACTTTTTCTGTCTGAGTTATTTCACTTAGCATAATTATCTCGGGTCCATCCATGTTGCTGCAAATGGCAGTATTTCATCTCTTTGTATGGTTTAGTAATGTTCCATTGTATATATGTACCACAGCTTCTTTAGACAATCGTCTATCTAGAACACTTCAGTTGCTTCCATGTCCTGGCCATCGTGAATAATGCTGCTATGAACATCAGTGTGCAAATATCTTTTCGGATATGAGTTTTCAAGTCTTTGGAGTAAATATCCAGTAGAGGGATTGCTGGATTATGTGGTAGATCAATTATTAGTTTTGTGAGGAACCTCCTACTATTTTTCATAGTGGCTGTACCACTTTGCAGTCCCACCAGCAGTGTATGAGGGTTTCTTTTTCTCCGCAACTTCTCCAACATTTGTCATTACTTGTCCTGTTGATTACAGCTATTGTAACAGGTGTGAGATGGTATCTCATTGTGGTTTTGATTTGCATTTCTCTAATAGCTAGCGATGTTGAGCATCTTTTCATATATTTTTTGGCCATTTGTATGTCCTTTAGGGAAAAGTGTCTTTTCGGGTCCTCTGCCCATTTTTTAATTGGATTTGTTGTTGTTGTTGCTGTTGTTGTTGTTGTTGTTCTTGTTGTTATTGGGTTGTATGAGTTCTTTGTATAATTTGGATATTAGCCCCATATTGGAGGCATTGTTTGCAAATATATTTTCCCATTCGGATAATTGTCTCTTTATCTCGTTGACAGTTTCTTTTGCTGTGCAGAAGCTTTTTACTTTGATATAGTCCCATTCATTTATTTTAGCTTTTACTTCCCTTGATTTTC